TTAACGTCCAGTGGCAAATATTTCATGCATATTCAGGACGAAATGTAGGGAAGAGGGATGTTTCATCAGAGTTTACGAAATGTTGAATTAGATGATCACAGTTCACAGGAAATACAACAAAACTGTTCACGAAAAACAATAGTTTAACCCTACCTTCATCACTGTTTACGAAAAACGACGAGTTAAAAACTTCATCACGGAAAACGTTGATAAAATTTAAAGACTTATATCACAACTCCCCCTGTGTTGGATAAAATACTAGAAATCTTCACATACGATTTTCCACTTTGGCGAAGATTAACTATTCCATGTCTCAAATACATTGCAATTCTGTTAACTTTGACAGGAGGCATTTTGCGTGTGGCTTTATCAACGATAATAATGACACTGAATGGTGACCAGTGAGATGCCCTAACTGCAGTGACGTCATTTAGAACTGTTCAACAATCCTGACAGGTTTGGTCAGTTCTACGGCTAGAACAGTTTTAGACAGTTCTGCTGACAGTTCTACGGTTAGAACTGATTTAGTCAGTTCTGATGACAGTTCTACGGTTAGAACTGATTTGGACAGTTCTACCCTAGAACTGATCCTGACAGTTTAGAACAGTTCTATGACAGATTATTCTGACAGTTCTAATGAGAGGTTAGAAGTGATCTCCACTGTAGGTACCATCAAGACATGGGTTGTTAAAATGACGTATGTGTGATAGACAGAAGATTTCGGGCCTCAATAGAAATGACACACTTCACGAAGAACGATTAAAATCAGATGACAATTGAGGATGACAGTTGATTATTCACCAAGAATATTTTGCACAATTTTGCTATGAAATAAAACAGTATTAAAACAATATACGATGCAAACTATGATGCATTAGTGTGCATATTTTGATTAATGAAAATGCATATGTGTTCTCCTGAACCAGAACCATGAAAGGTGAATGGGTATTTTAAAATTGATACTGAGGGCGATATCTTTATTTAATTACCGTATTGTTTCATTTTTCAGATCAGATGGGTTGTTGAATCCGCTAAAAGAGAATTTAGCGATGAAGAAATTTAGACGCAACACATTTTCCCCTCCATTGTCAACATGTATCTTATATAGTAGGTTCATATTTGTTAACAACTTTGACATCAAAAAAATATTGGATATAAAAATCATAATACTGTTCCAAAATGTCTTAAGCTTATTTTGTCATTATACAGAAAAAAACCAAAAACATAACCAAGAAAACGTAACAAAACAAGAATAAATCCTAAAACAAAAAAAAAGCAAATACAAAAATGAGAAATCTGAATTTTATTTTGTTTTAAAAAAGAAATTTTTCGTGTTGTTTTTGCGGCTCACTTCATCCACAAGCCAAAGTGACATATTTTCAATCATTTTACATTAATCGCCACTTCTTTCAGCGTTAACTTTATTTAGCCTTCTCTCTGAAAATGCTCGGTCAATTTTCACAAAGATGATAATATTACCAATAACACATGAAAAGTTATCTAGACCAATGCTTTATTTAGCTTTGATCTTAAGAAAACACTACCGTCAGAGGCATAATTTGATTCTTATTTATAAAAAAAATTCATCTTTTTTCACTGAAACAAAAAAAAGTATTTCTGGAACTTTACCAGGTTGATGTCTTCTGTACCCTTAAAAATTATTTATCAATTAATGTTGATCGGGTCGCAATCATTGCATCAATTTTGGCACCCTGAGAAAATAAAAATTTTATCGTCTTCTCTGAAATCATTTTGCCACTTTCAACCACATTTGTCAGGAAATATATATATATAAATCAACTTCATAAGATTCTCATTTTGTTTAAAAATTAACTAATAAAAACCTTTATTCTTTTACCCTGGAATTACTTCGTTTAAGTTTTTTTTGTTTTATGCATTAGACAGCCCTGTCTACACGTAACAAATGTAATTCTACTTCTTTTCAACAATCTCATTCTAGGAAATAGTTTTGAAGATGAACACTGGCCTGTCAAATGGTGTAAATAAAAACACATTAACGAATTCAAACAAAATGTCGAAATAAAAAACTTGAATGGGAGAACGGCAAAATGTACAAATGTGGATGAAATAACACTAGATGAGTTTCCTGTTCTTTATAAAACCAATTAAAGTTTATAAAATAAAAACTAAACTTAGATTAAGCTATATGAAAGATTACATTAAATTTGACTGCGATATTCAAGTGCATAAAGATGAAGATCGCCTTCTTCACGTAAGACTTGGAAGTAGATAGGTTTCTTTTTCTATCTTTTCTCGTGTTGTTTCGATCAAAGAAACTAAAAAGAGGGACGAAAGATACCAGAGGGACAGTCAAACTCATAGATCGAAAACAAACTGACAACGCCATGGTCAAAAATAAAAAGACAAATAGACAAATAATAGTACAGATGACACAACATAGAAAACTAAAGACTAAACAACAAATGTTGTTTCATAGTACTGCAAATGTCCACCAGGTGTCAAAGTTGTTGGCGCAGGCCCGCAGCTAGCTTCAATTGTATGATTTTGTTTTGTTCAAACATGATTAAAAAGGAAAAAATAAAATAATAATTCGCTATTAGAAGCTAGTTTGGTTCAATTTTGTTATAAAAAGCTAATAAGCTAAAAAAAAATATCGCTGATATATTAATGTATTGTAAAACGATAATTCGACCTCATATGGGTCCGTATGAATGCAACCTTTATTTGACCCTTAGTTGGAGATTGATTGTGCATGTGATCAGCATATGTTTACTTTTCGAAAAATAAAAGGATGTAAAATTTGGAAAGTTAAACAAGAGAGCCACAGGGGAAGAGTCGTTTAGTTGACTGATTCGTACCACAAAACATTCTTATACAGGTGCAACGATTTTGTTTAATCTGACATGAAATCAAACGGACCTAGAAATCTTCATTATTCTTTTGTACGTGCTTGTCTGTCTTTTTTTATTCATAATTATGTTTCTAGATGGTTAATTAGATAGAGATTATGCATGTGGAAAGGATAATATTAATATAAATTGTCTTCATAAATTATGTCTCACTCCAAATGTTCAATAATAAAAAGTCATGCATTCCAAATTGAAAAGATGAGTGATTTAATATCCAAACCTAGATTTGATAATCTCGATCAGTGGTATAACAAAAGAGTACACAAAAGAACATACAATGATAAAATCAAAAGCAAACAAAGTTCTATAATATCGATGTAATGCATGACAAAAACAAAATAAAGCAAAATTATAATTATTGATATGTCGTATAAAATGATTCGTGCAGTTGTTAAACCTGCTGATATGAAATACTGTTGTCCTACAGTCTACAACTACATGTAGCTGTCAATCAGAGTATATTTCATACAAACACATCATAAACAGAAGAGAAAAACTTTAATTTTTTACCATGATAAGAAATTTTTCAGAATTTAAAAAAAGTAAAAGAATTATCATGAACTTTTTTTTCAAATGATAAATTAGTCCTCCCCCCCCCCCCCCCCCCCCAAAAAAAAAAATGAAATAGAATAAAAGATTCAGTGATTGAACTACAGCGGTACAGTTCTAACTTTAACAAGTAAGTCCCTTATGTCGAAAAAATGTTAATAATTGAGATATATATGTTCATACCAAACAAACAGAGAAACTGTTCTTATGTTGTACTGTTACACAACTGTCCCAAGTTAGGGGGGGGGGGGGCTAAATCAGGAGCCTGTTATTGATTTGTTGTCGTTTTTTGCTGTTTCCCATATTTGTTTTTGTTTATTGTTTTGCATAGTTTGTCTTTGGTTTGTGCCGTTACACCACTGTCCTAGGTTAGTGGAGGGTTGGCGCCTTCAAACATGTTTAACCCCGCCACATTCTATATGTGCCTGTCCCAAGTCAGGAACCTGTAGTTCAGTGGTTGCCGTTGATTCATGTCTGACATTTTTGTATTTCAGTAATTGTTCTGTTATAAATAAGGCCGTTAGTTTTCTCAATTGAATATTCTCATATTTTTCATGTCGGGGCCTTTTATAGCCGACTATAAGGCATGGGTTTTTCTCATTGTTGAAGGCCGTACGGTTGCCTATAATTGCTTACATCCACTTCATTTGAACTTTGGGGTGGATAGTTGTGTCATTGGCAATCATACCACATCCTTATTTTTATATGGTTTAGAAGAAGCCAAAGGAACACCACCTTGAATCGAGGACAGGAAAACTAACAATAGTAAGAAAAAGTCGTCTCAATAGTCATAATATAAGTATGAAGATTACCATGCAAATTTATAATGTCAAGGTCAAAAAAGGACAAAATTCACGAAGTATGTGATTAGCCATGAGATTTCCAGGCTTATGGGGGTACTTAGTCTAAATCGGGCTTGCATATTTATCCAGTACATACTGAAAGAAAACATCATGTCACGTTATTATGACATGACAGATTTGTTGTAATAACAGTAATGGGTCGTTTAGGAGTATTTGATATAACATTTTGATTTACGAACGCATTAATTCATAAAGTACCATTTACTTTATAATTTTATTGGCGCTGAGTAATTTTAACGGATTATTTTGTAACAATTTATAATTTACTAAAACAGCTTCTTGCTCTTTTTTATAGGAAATGTTATTTAAACGTGCAATGAAATTAATTTAAAGTTTGCCTCAATGACATCGTCTAGTAGGTTCTTTAATACAATTTCTTTTAAGTTTGACAGTTTATTTACGCATGTATCTACAACACTTATCATGCGAAAAGTAATGGTCTAAGGAGTAGTTTTCAAAATGACATTTAAAATATGCATTTTATATGGTGCATTTATTATAATGATGTAATTTGAATGATTTTAACTAGGGCATTTCAATAAAGCAGATAATTTTGCATTTCAAACTCCCTGAAAACGTGTTGATGCAGAATAAAGTAATTTCAACTTCAAACAAAAACATGAAACTTCTTCAGTACTTGTGTACGTTTTTATTACATTTAAAATCTTGTTCAAATATCCGTAAAACTTACTCAAAAATGTATAAAGTGGTTTACCTTCTTTACAAATACTTCGAAGCGACAACTTAACACAAGAAGAAATTGAAGGAACCATCTAAAAACAGTCTTAAATTTGTAAGTATTTGATTAACTTTCAATTTGCATATTATTTTTTCCAGACTTCAATTTATGAAGTATTTTAGTTAAAACAATATTTTATTTTCCTAAAGTGCACAAATTACAATTATACAAAAAAATACAGGGATTCGGAAACAAGAAGAACTGATATAAATCCGTCTGTCTTAAGTAAAATTTATTTTAAATCTACCATGTTAACATATCAATGACTTCTTTGAACTTCTATGACAAATGTTGAATATTGTTTTTTGATCTTTCTGTTTACTTATATATGGATATTTTGAGGATTGGTAATAATTCATCACATATCTTCACGTCTATTGACTTATATTAATTGATTAGACCTAACATAGACAAATCGTCGTGCGAGTCTTTTGATGTTCTATGTTCACGTTTGATATAAAGAGAGGTAGCATATATATTTGTTATCCAGGTGCAATGGTCTATCTCCCAATCTCCTTATACAACTATGATACGAGATTTCTACATTCTACGAGTTTTTTTTATTAGAACTATGATAGTTGGACATCGGAAGTTCAGTTATTATTTGGAGACTTTGGTGTTAATGGCAGACATTAGATAATTTCTGTTTAATTCAATCACAAGTTTTGAAGACTATGGGCGATTTAGAACTTGACTCATTGGTGTATATAACTACTTTTTATTCATGCTAACTACCGTCCATAAAATAAGAAATAGCTATTGCATGTTTTTGGCTTCCAAAATACTACTATTTATAAATAAATTACTGTTACGTTTACATAGCCAAGACAGTCAGTTTTATACAGTCTAAAATCAAACAAAAAAGAAAGGATAATGGTGTACATAAATTCTTACAAAGACTGGCACTTAAGTACATAGTCCAAGACAGTCATTTTGATACAGTATAAAATAAAAACGAAAGGATAATGGTGTACATAAATTCCTAACATGTATACACAAACTAAAAGTGATTCCTTCAACATGTGGGAAAACTCACACCTCCAACAACAAAAACGTTTTTTGATTGTTTTTTATTTGTTTTGTGGTATAAGTTGGCTTACATTACAATTAAAACCCAAGCTACCTTTCATACCATGTATGTATGTAGTGCATCTAACGATAACATCATAGGTTACAGATTTAGAATTAAACTTGCAGAAAAGTGGTTTTTACTGTATAATTGTATGTTTATTTTAATTGTTTAATAGTACGATATATAGATTTGAAGCTCTACTGACACAGTCCTGATACTAAAATGTATGAATTTATCTATAGAAAATATTGTCAGCACAAACGGAGTGTTAAAAGGTATTAATTATGTTATACCGAAGAAAATTGTTTTATTTCAGGTACAAAGATGTGCTTGAAAATCCTCGAGAAATTTATACTGTTCGGCCTGATTTTTATCCTCTTCTTCATACACCAGGGATCCTTAGTTTTGTTGATAAGCCAAAGGGAATTGGAGTCAACAAACGAATGGTAAAACTTTATTATTGAAATCCTTTTTTTTCATCTGGACATTAATCGTTAATCGATCAATGTCGGAAAGTGCTGGAAACAGGTTTATTTTGTCGTACTGCTTCAAATTATCTATCTGACATTATTATCTATTACCAGTTTTATCATATTTCCGACTGGCAACACTTACTTCTTGATATATAGATAAGAAGATGTGGTATGAGTGCCAATGAGACAACTAAAGGGCCCCAAAAAGACTAGTGTAAAATGACTGTTTTCACTCCTATGTTTGTTTCTTTGCCTGCCTGTACTGTACTTATGACACTTGAACTGGCTCTAATATACTACATGTTTTTTTTATTATGCGGAGAATTCGGTGACCGAATGGTCAAAGTGGTTCATCTACTATGATCATAACCCTGACAACATGGATTGTTGGTTGCTAACGTCAGATGGCAAATATTTCATGCATGTTCAGGACGAACTTTCAATTGAAAACCACTGAGGTTGTGAGTCCAATGCAAACCGTGACGTTATCATTACCAAAACCTTTAACGTGCGGTCAGAATATGCCTCGTGTAAAGAGATTGTCACGATCTCTGCACGTTATGAACCCTTGCAACAACTCTCTGAGGAGTCCGTAGGTGGCCTGTTGTCAGGCAAAATTCTGCCCTCATTTTCAAGCGGAAGTTTTTATTTCCTCGACCTTCATCCCAGAGAGCCTCTATTACAGGACCTGCCTTTTGTATTTATTATAATTAATGTGTTCTCGGCCTGAACATGCCTGATATAATTGCCACTGGATGTTGAGCATCAAACAATCAATCAATCCCAAAGCTTTCAATTGATTGATGGATTGATTGTTGGTTGCAAACGTCCAGTGGCAAATATTTCATGCATGTGCAGGACGAACTTTCAATTGAAAACCAACTTAAAAAAAATTTGTTTACGAAAAATAGGATTGTTTGAAGATTTATAAAGACAACTCGGACCAGTTTGAAAGACAACTCGGATAAGTATGAAAGACAACTCGGACTAATTTGAAACACTTGTCAGACCAGTGGCTCTGTATGGTTTTAACGTTTAACATGATTTTGTTTGTTTTTGTCTGGAATTTTTTCTTTTCAGTGACCTGTAACTGACCATCATAACTTGCTGTAATAACTTGTGTCAATATAATACTTCCATGGTTTGATGCACTTAATTTGCTTGTTTGTTTTAACCATATTTCTATCACTATAATATTTTTTTTATCACGGCCTAACGAGATCAATTAAGATCCGATGATCATCTCATAATCTAATTGAAAATAAAAACAATAATTTTTTTTTATTGCTGATTATTGAGTTAACTATTTGTATCATCTCATGTGTTTGAAATAGTAACTTAAAGTTGCAGATCTATATGATAAAAATATTCATGATGATGATTTTTACGAAAGTGGTCCTGGTCGCTAAATTACATTTTTTAGAGAAAAGTCGTATGAACAGATACAGCCATAAAATAATAAACAACAAATATCTTTACATGCAATGAAAATATAAAACAGATATATGTTCGTCTTTTAATATGCCAGATCGCCTCCATATGATATGTGATCCTAGTAATCTTTCAAGAGGGTTGGAAATAAAAATAAAAGTAACTGAAGTTGTATTATACATATACATTTACTACATTTGAAATGAATTCAAACATTTCAATTAAAGTAATGTTACGGCCAGAAATCACCTTTAAATTTTAGCCAACAAAAGAAAAAAAAATCATAAATGAATTTAACAAGTTTATTTATACCATTTTACAAGTAATATTATACAAATAGAAATGTCAACTGAACGGTAAGAATATCTGAATGTCCAATCCTATTCTTCTCTTTATTTTGAAATCTTCTTTTAACTGTTGCAGAATCCAAACGGAATATATATATGTCAAATAAGTTCACAAACAAGTATGATGTTGTTAACGTAAATAAAAGTGCCAATCCAACAACTCCAGAGATCTTCTGAGAATACTTCTATATTTTTTTTAGTCTAACTCGGTATCTGTATTTATAGTTGCCTCGGAAACTTGTAGGACACTGTAGAAGTTTAAATTAACGCATCGTAGAGTATGAACATTCTGGAATTATTATGCAAGTCAAATAGAAAGTTCTAATCATTCCAATTCAGTTCAATTCAATGTTCTACTAAAGTCTCATCTCTCAACGAGTAAAATCGATATGTATTAATTGTAAAACAATACTACAGTACATAAAATGAGAGTCATTCTATTCAGAATTATAAGAGACTATTAAAATGCATAGATATACATGTGTACTACATTAAACAATATGAAATAAAGTACTATTTACAATATATACATCAAAATTATTTATTTTGTTAAAATATTTCCTTTCTCTATCTGAACTGTACACGTATACCTAACAACAAAATTATTTTTATTTACCTGTGTTTAAAGTAATTACAAATGGCTGATATTTTTGTTCAAGTATATTGTTTTTCTTAAATTGTTTAACATTTCACAGCGGTATAACATGTTACTTTAATTATTCTTCCCTTAGTTTATTTATTTTGTATTTGCATTGTATCATAGATCAAATTTATTTGTTCAGTGTATATTCACCGGTGTTAATATGTCTTTTGATTGAGTTAAGCCATTTCAATTGATATTTTATAGTGTGTTTTTCTATGTTGTGATGTTACACTATTGTTTCAGATAAGGGTGAAGGTTTGGTACCATTAAAACGTTTAAACCCGCTGCAATTGTTTGCACCTGTCCTAATTCAGGAATCTGATGTTCAGTAGTTGTTGTTTGTTGATGTGGTTCATAAGTGTTTCTCGTTTTTTATATAGATTAGACCGTTGGTTTTCCCGTTTGAATGGTTTTACACTAGTAATTTTTGGGGCCCTTTATAGCTTGATGTTCTGTGTGAGCCAAGGCTCCGTGTTGAAGACCGTACTTTGACCTATAATGGTTTATTTTTATAAATTTTGACTTGGATAGAAGGTTGTCTCATTGGCACTCATACCACATCTTCTTATATCTATGTAAAACGTCTACGTCTTCTTAAAATCAAATAACAGGTTTTGGCACACACACGTATCATATTTACATATGAGAATAAAAAAACTAACTTTTGGTTGTCATCAGCAACATAATATAAATGGTTTCTAAAATCGTCATAAAGAGGACATCTTAATAAAATATCCGCTTCGTCTTCAATAAAACCATCACATAAATGGCACCAGAGATGAGTCCTATTACTTTCAATTTAAGTGATTAAATTACAATTACTTTGTCAATTGTACGATTAGATTAGATTAATGATTACACCATTTCTCAAAGTATCTAATTAAATTAATGATTACATCCGCAATTAATCAATGGTAATCAGGATTACATCTGATTACAATGAATTTCAAAATAAGCTACATGTATTTGAATGATCCTAATGATTAAAGGTTATAACTGTAGCACTTTTTGAGAAAGGTTTTTATTTGATATGTTATTAAATAAGAACTTCAAACTTCACATATCTCGTCCCCTTTTTACAATGAAATCAACTAATTCACTGTACACATATATAGCTAAAAATGCTGATATGAACTCACTGTGCATATGGCCAGTCTTGAGCATATTTTTGCCAAGGGCTTTTGGAATGAGAGAAACTAAATTTCTATACTAGTGAGTTTTACTTCCTACACGAATCATTTCTCCCTGATGTCCCCACAAAACAAGTTTAAAAAAAAACATCATTAAAATAACATTTTGTTGGTATCAAATTACATGTATATCCATATTTCATAATACCTTAACATGCTTAAAGTAAATCAAAACTATTTTAACAAGTTATATATTTTTTGAATATGAATAATAAAATTGTTCATTTAAGACATGATATATTGATCATAAACACGATTTGAGATTTTTGTTCTTAAAGCACACAGATGTCTATGAACCCAAATTTAGATTTAATTCAAGTCCAACCATTTCTTTTAACGATAAGAAATAAAGTAGTTATATGTGATAAAATAAAATTATATAACATCATTCTTGACTTAAATCCTCTTTGCTTGAATAGATATTTTAATGCGAACGGATATCAACTGGATCCGAATCTCAATCAAACATATGACACATCATTTATTACGAGATATTTTTTTATGTTTCATTAGGAATACATTATGAGCTGATATTAAAAAAAATCGCCAACTCATTATTTACAAATCTGTGCTGATCATAGAATAGAGAATGGAAACAGGTAATGTGTCAAAGAGACAACAACCCGACCAAAGAGCAGAAAACAGCCCAAGGCCACCAATGGGTCTTCAACGCAGCGAGAAAATACCGCACCAGGAGGCGGGCTTCAGCTGGCCCCTAAACAATAGTGTATACTTGCTCAGCGAAATGGACGCAACACTTAACTCCGAAACATACAAATGAACTAAAATTTAAAAACAAACCACACAAGACTAACAAAGGCTAGATGTTTCTGACTTGGGACAGGCGTAAAATGCGGCGGGGTTAAACATGTTTTGTGAGTTCTCAACCCTCCCCTATATACCTATAGCCAATAAGGATAAACAAACAGACAGTAATACACACAGTAAAACTCAGTTGAAAAGGAGTTCGACTGTTATGTTAGATCAGCATATAATGTTAGAATTAAAAGAAAACACTGTGTTAATACTTTCATTTTTACTTTGTCAAGACAGATAAGATTAACAAAATTTAAACATAATTGGAAGAATTTATTAAATATAATTATTTTGCAATTTTAGAGAAAATTATTTTAAGTGCTCTTATCAAACCTTTTCTATCCTTCTTTTCCACCTGTGCAGATATCACTGTATTCTTAATTATGTAATTTCATGTGATCAAATCGCGTCATTAGTGAACGTTACAGGAATTTGGCGCGAAATTACAAGTTAAAAATCTCATCAACAATAGGTTGGTTAATCGTCTAACATTTTTATATTTAAGTGAGATGACCCAGCTGATGAACAAATCTCTCTGCTGTTTCTATATTAGTAAAAGAAGAGGTATTATTGTTCTCTCCGATTATCTTATTTTTTACAGATTTTTGTTTGTACCGTTAACGTTATTTGGGAATTTTTTTAACGTTATTCATTTTGAAGGTACCTCCATTACGACCCTCTTTCAAACTTTTTTGTGTTGCCTTCATAAGTAGTCCGAATTGTCTTTAAACTGGTCCGAGTTGTCTTTAAAAGTCGTGCGAGTTATCTTTCGATTTGTCCGAGTTGTTTTACGCTTAGTCCGAGTTATCTTGGTCCGATTTGTCTATGCATTTCAAACTTGATGCCACGTTGAACGACCCTTCTTCAAACGACATCGCTCTTACTATTTTAAATGTTTACTTTTGACGTCCATATTAAATTGCATATAACTTAATACTAGTAGTTATAGTTGTTTTACTATTATCACCATTTTTATATCTATGTTTTTATTATTTTGCAGGAAATCGGTTACTCTTTTGATTGTACTGTTTCCATATGTTGCCTCATTGTTATCACAAATATGGACATCATCATTTTCAACAGAAGGGAAATGGAAGGAGTGGCCCCATTGGGGATCGCTGTTATTGGTATGGTTTTTGAAAATTTATTTATGCTTCAGTTTTCAGGAATTTGTTTTAATATATACTTTTTCCCCCCATTGTTTTCACTGTTTCTAAATGACTTGTTTTTTTTATCTTCTTGACTGTCTTTGTATGATCATTTTTTTTTAAACTTCAAACGTTCTTATTTAAGCATTAATTTGGCAAGAAAATATACATATACCAATGGGGTATTAAGGAAACTGTCAGAAAACCATGCCATAGGCTCGAAATGCAATGTTGTCATATAGGCCTGCTATTTTGCATACATGATATCTTAATGACAACTACTCTCTGTGCAAAATATTTTTAAAAATATTTAATGATAGTCTCTTTATGGAGTGCCATCTTTATATAATTGATATTTATGGTGAAAATAAGGCAATTTTAGCATTTTTAGCTGATTAATATCAGTTTTTAACATCATGTTACTGTTTTATTGGAAAGATTATGTTGCAATACTGTATTCTAACTGTCAAAATATGTTAATACTTGAGGTTAAAAAAATTGCCTTTATTCGCTCATACTTGTCCATATATCTTAAGTTTTACAAAACTGCCAAAATTTTCTAAAGTGGCAAAACATTTGATTGCCATTTGTTTTTTCTTCAGCTATGATTATATATCTACAAAATATAAGAATTTAATTTTGGTAAATGATCATGATAGTACTCAATTCATGTAATGTTAATATATTAGATTGGAAGGAATTGTGATTTAGCAGGTGTTAACCTACATTTATGGTATTTCTCCTATTTGGACCCTTCAATTATCCCCCTCTGGACCCACCATGTAGAAAACAAATATATAATGCACAATTACAATATCTAATAAGTATCTTATATAACTTTCACATTAAACCATTCAGTGGTTGGGGAGAAGTTGCGAACCGCAGGTAAATGTACTTATATTCTATTTTGCTAAGATCAAACGAATATAAATTATTTAATGAATAAAACAACACATGGATAGGATAAGTGTGCCTACATGTGTAGCAGTCTTTTAATATTTATTAAATTAAATATTCTTCAAACTAAAATCCTTCACTATATATAAATTCAGGCAACACTACCAATCCAAGTATATAAAGTATACACAATCAAAATCTATCTACAAAAGAGGAAAATACATATTGATATAAGTCAATATATTTATATACCCACATTAACATTAATCAACTCAAAAAGGGTGGGTGGCTGGGTAAACATAATAACGAACTGCTGCTATGTCAACTATAGGCAAACTTCGAACAACTTTAATTTCTAAAACGGACCCCTTAAGTTATATTTATTCATTCTTTTCACTAATCTCATAAGTTGCATATACCCGTAAAAGCCGAATTGCAGGTATATGCCATCAAATCATAACTAACATAAACACAAACCATGTGTTTATTATAAACACAAACACGTGTTTATAGTAAACAATCACTTGACCGTTACTACATCATGTGACTACTAACTTTTATAATTATAGAATCATTAATCGAAGAATTCAAATATAGAAAAATATTCAACGAGTGATCGAACAACACATTAATTCACGAATGCGCATAGCGCATGAGTTATTAATCATTGTTGTTCGGTCACAAGTTGAATATTTTTCGATATTTGAATTCTTTGATTAGTTAATCTTTTGATTACATTGACAATGGGCTTTTTAATGGAAATAAAGCAGAAAATGCAAGGAACTATATCTTTTACTACGCATTCACAATTTGCTTTCAAATTGATTCACGTCGTCGACAACGTCTTGACAACACCTATTGTTGTTTGTCGTCAGGGGAGTGAAAAACCCAGTTTATTTCACTTGTAAAATTATCGGTTCCTGTTGTACTGGGAAATCACGGTAATTCATTGCAACCAATGTAATAAATATATTTTTCGATATTCTAATTCTGAAGATTAGTTATTCTTTTTATTAAATTGACTATATATGGACTTTTTAATGTAAATGAAAAAGAAAATGAAATGAACTATATTTTTGTTTACGCATTCTCTATTGTTTAGATGTAACGTCATCGACAACGTCTTGACAACACCCATTGTAGTATGACGTCAGGAGTATTTCACAAATGAAACTATCGGTTTTTATTTCACTGGGAAATCACGGTAATTTATTGCAACCTATGTAATATATATATTTAATACACAACACCACCATTGATTTTCTCCTATTTAATCCAAAGTTTCCCGCATTAACCCTCAATGCATCAAACAAATATATGGTGTACAATTTTACTACCCTTACAAGACATATATCATAAGTTTGGTTTAAACCCATTCAGTAGTTTAAGAGGAGTTGAGGTAGATTAACTGTTAACCGTCATCTCGTATTGTAAAATGGCAGTACACAATCAATTTAGTTCTTTGCCTACATCTGTAAATTTTGAGACAGATTGGCAATAAGTTTATTATATTATTTAGATAAAGTGATTTATTGCATTTTTAGACTGTTTTAACAAATATCAAGTATTTGTTTATGTTCAATTTTTTTTAACTTAACCATAGAAGGGGAGATAACTCTTATAGTAAAAATGTTTAAAGAATGTTAATAAAATTTTATTTTTTACTTTTAGCAAGAAACAAGTTGGGTGACACATTTTTTTATTTTTATTTTTTTAAGCATATTATAAAACAAATCTGCTCAAATTATAATATTTCAAAATTCTATCTCATAGATTTCTGTTATAATTCACAAAAAAGTGTTTTTTCATGAATAATTACAATTTTGCACAATTTGTACCTTAAGAATAGCACGGTGACCCATACTTTTTATGATATTTTCGAAAAAAATCATGTTTAAATCTACATTTTGGCAAAGTATAGGAGTATCTTTCTATGGAAATATATAGTAATGATCCAACTTAAAGAATGTAGATATATTACGAACAAACAGACGGACGAACAGACAGACATCATGAATATTGTATTTACCAGCTATCACTGGCAGGAGTATAATTAGTCTCTGTACAAAAGGATCAACTTGATTCAGGGCAGCCAATAACTAAAGGTCAAGCTGGCCTTTCTGGCCTGTGTAATTATTTGTTAATAAAGTTTGAATGCTTAAGAGTTATGTTTTGATCACTATTGTGGACCCTCTTTTGAATCTTTCCAAGTGAATAAGACATGTGGAGAAAATTTGTCAACTCGCCAATTACTATATTTAGATTGAAAAGAAGAAATATTGCATAGATTGATGACACAAAATCTTTATATGTACATGATAAAATACTAGCAAACGAACAGAGCTGTCGTTGCTGTTCATCATCTAATAGTCAGAGTGAGGCTTTCAACATGTACAAAAAGCTCACGCCTCACTACAAGTTCACATTGACCCCCTAGCATTGTTGCACTTTATCTAGATTTTAACTGTCTGACTTTTTATACACAAAACAACATGTTTCAATTATTTTAATTTTATATTAATTCAAAATACATGTATGAAGGCAATTAATACTTAAGAATTGAATGCTTCTTTTTGTAAATTCATTGAGGTGTAAAAGCGTTGACCGAAGTACATTTTGTATGAAGCGCGGAAGTAATTCTACAGAAACAACGTGTATGTCATCACTTTCCATTCTGCCAAGGTGTTTTGGAAATCATCATCATCAACTTCATTTAAATTCTAAATTTAAACTAAAAATGACTTTGCTGGATCTTTAGATCCAAGTTTGACAATTTGGAAAATACACTCCAAACTTAAAATGCGGTTAACCACTCATCAGTGTTAAATTACTTTGATCATGATTGTTCCTTAATAGTTTCAAATTATTACAGTTTTTTTTCTGTAGCACTGCATTCTACGTATATATCATGTAATAATTCTTTAGCCCTAATTACTACTAAAACGTTTCAATGGCTAATAGAAACATTAAAATCCCATCCTTTTGCAATATTTAAGTTAGTTGTAAAAACTGATTGTTCCAAAACCTTTGTTCTCAGGATCAACAACTACATACGTCTCAGAACAAAGAAGTTTCACTTTGTAAATAAATATTTTCTTTGTTGGCATATACATGCTTGCCTATGCTTATATGTGATATTCTAAGACATGAGGTTTTTCTGTAAACCTTAATACAATTTCGCTTAGGACAAGCAAAAAATGGTTCATCATCTGAATTATCACCAGTCTTGGCTATGATATTTGCTCTTGGATAATATTCAGTTTCTTCTGTTTCATTATATCCCCCATTTGAGTTTTCTTTGTTATATGTGTAATTAACAGAGCCTGGTTAGAAAGATTGTTCTTAATAAATTGTAAATGTACCTACAAAAAACATAATCATATTATCATAATATATGGAATTGATTAAGCATAACGTAGGCAAACTTTTTTAATAAATTTTAATAGAATAGTGTTGTAGCCCAATACATCTTTTTTTTTTATCTAAACAATGATTTAAGACATATTGTTGTCTCAATCAGACTAGTATTTCACTGATACTGCTTTTTTAGAACAATACACTGGTTACTACTAGTGGAGCACGACAAGCTTACCTTTTTTGAGTACCTGAATATCTGCTCTCCTTTTTGTTTTTCTATGGAGTTTGTATCAATAACTTCAATTTTTATAATCCTTATATGCAATTCATTTGTTTGTAACATCGATGTTTATTAGTTATCAAAATACATTTTGAAGGTTAGATTCCATAGTCTTCCGGTCTGTAACAAAGGGAAGCCAACATTTTATATTTCTTCTTTTTTGTGTGTTATTTCTTCAAAATAAACAAAAGTATGACATCTTTTCCCTGGAAACCTCCTTTTTGTTAAGTGATATCGGTTTACCTACCGTTGTCTCATAACTCTTATAAAATGTGAGTTCATGTCTGTGGACATTATTCCTTTGTTTATTTTTTGTAAGAATGGCTTTTGCCTTTAATATTTTAATGGATTGGAAAAACTGGCAAAAATCTCCAATAGGGAGGAGGGGAAGGGTTAGGAAAAATCATGGATCTGCTAAATATTTCTTATTTTTATTTGACGATTTTTTTACTAGTATAATGAAGTACAGTTTGACAAGCTACTGCAATTGAGAAAATTCCATGCTGCCAATGGCAATTTGTTACAATTTTATGTGATCCTTCATGAAAATATACAGATGTTTGAGTTTGACAACTCATATCAAACTCATGAATGTGTACAAGTAAAATTTATTGAGCCATCGTCACAGTACTGACCTGGACATGACAATAACAAAAGATAAAAATCATCAACAATTTTATCCACCAAAACCATGCATATTTTCATTGACGGGTATGAAGTCCTATTCTGATAAATTAAGTTTTCTCCCTTTATCAGTTGATGGTTCTAAAAATAGGCACAAAGTAGGAGAAACATGGAAACAAATCTTAGTTCATATTCTGTTGAAAATGGAATCAAAATCATCATATAACTCTTGATGTGAACAGATTTTTAAAAATCATTGTGATGTGAGGCTGGTCCCGGAACTTTAATACAGTCACATGATATATGTAGTATAAAGTTTACAAACTGAAACACTGAGATCGAAAAAATAAAAACCTTTTAAAAAAAACTAAAAACAATGAAATTGTATTAAGCAAATATATCTCTTTATGTATTATATTATGAAAAATATGAGTAATGCCATTTGCCCTGGTTAAAATAATAGAAATGTATTTAACGAGAATATATTGCCATTAAAGAAGAAACATGAATATAAGGCAATGGTGAATTGTTGTCAAATCTTCTTATTGTACAATACAATACAGAGTCTTTGCATCATTAAACTGTTGTCTAAAGGGAAATTGATTTCAAAGATGGTTTTTTAACCCATACTTATATATTACCAACTGTATGATAATTTGCGGTATTATTTTTGTTTTGTCATTGGCTAAATGAAACACTCAATGGATGTGTGATCAAAGTGTGGTAGATTTTGTTTACAGGAAAGGATCAAGATACATATTCATATGCATAAACACATGTATGTAAAATACTTGTATTTATTTGAAAAAAAAATCAGAACAGGGAATACTTTTTAAGGAATGTTATTAAGGAATAAGCTCTTATTTGCTTGGCGACCGGTGGCAAATACATGTTTTCAAAACGTTTCACAATTTAAAGGCAATGCAATTCATGGATTAAATTGGCGCTCTATCATATTAAAACAAAGCGCTGCGCCATGAGCGCATGATACGCCAGTAGCTTTTTCAACGAATAAAATTCCATTACTCCTCAATGCCATATCATAAATTTATAAAAAAAAAATATAGGGAGCTTATTTTAATAGATATAAACCAGTCACCAAAGTTTCATGAAAACTGCTCAAAGCATTTTTGAGTTATTGTCCAAAAACTGGAAAATCCCCCCTTTTTTATGAATAAAATCCCATAACTCGGAAGCGTAAAATAGAGATTACGTAAATAGATATAAACAATACATCAAAGTTTCATGAAAATTGGTTGATGCGTTTTTGAGTAATTGTCCGACATGTTGACGACTGACGGACGGACAGATGGACGGACGGACGGACAACGGTTTACCATAATACGTCCCTTAAACGGGCGTATTAAAATAGTTATCTGAATTTTTTTGTGAATTCGTGGCCTGCAGTTTTGAAAACATATACTTTAACATGTATCGTTATATTTTTTAAAGATGGAAGAAAAAAGATATGTACCATTAAAAGTTATAAGTCTCAGGTGTTTGTAAATATTTCCACTGGAAGAAAATTTTATCTGAGTTTACCAATGAAATATTCATTACTCAGTTATTTGTAAATATATTTACTTGTATTATTTTAATCTCTATGGTAGACGAAAAAGTGCGATTAATCAAAATGTAATTTTACCTTGAATTGCGCAAAGCCGAGAAATCAGTTGAAAATGGCCAACTGAAATACAATGGGATATAAAACATTCGAAGCAGACTTTCGTGAACACTGACAAGAAATAAATATATAAAACAAAAAAGACTTTGTTGTTTTAATTTACATCGTGACAGCTCAATAATACATTAGCAGTGTAATATTGAATGAAGAACGTAACCGCAATTTTCACTTGCCTTAGAAATGTCTCATCATACAAGGACACATTAAAAACAGAGTACAAGTATACAAATCTAGAATGATTTTTTTAAAATTCAATTAAT